GTTTCGCTAATGATTTTTCCAGCAGGAGTGTCGGAGGAGGCCTCCTGAGTCAGGGGCTTGCACAGCACATAACCTTGGAGGGAAAGGGGCATAATGAAGAGGAACTGATCAGATGCGTGTCTTCAAGTTCACAGTCTTTACAACCAGCCTGGAGTAGAGGTCAGCTTCCCACTGGAAGCAATGCACAAGGCTGGCTTTCTCTTGTGGACTCACATGATGCAGAACCCATGGGTACTTTTACTTTCTGAGGAGAAACTGTGTCATTTCACTCTCTTCTAGTGGGTGTGTTCCAGCCATCAAGTAAAATGCTCAAAGAACCAAAAGGAATTACTACCCAGAAATGCTGGTCAATTTTCCAAAATTGGATCAATAAAATGGCTCATCTATTAGAGTCTCATGCTTTGGAGGTTATAAATGCACGTGCTCTGTTAGGCATTTCTTTCACTTGTTTAAGCAATCTTCAGAAGTATACAAATATTTATAAAAGGCAGCCTACTATTTTTACCCACCTCTAATTTTTTTGAGCAAAATCAAATTAATTCATTTATATCTGCAGAACATCTAAAGGCAAGGGCTCTGTCAACAGTTTAGGGTCCTATGGGTACCTGCCCCGAACCCAGTACCCAGAGCCTAGCACTAAGCGCCCAGGTCATTCTGATGGTGAATTTATGGTAGAGCCAATTTTAAATTTCCATTTCTATCCATCATAAAAGAAATCTACAAGGCAAATTAACAGTGTAAGCAAAAAGACAATGTAGAATGACAGGCCGAAAACCAGGCAGGATCCCCCAAAGCAGCCTATATCCCTGGCTCATGTCTTCTTCATCAGTTAGCCAGGCTGTGCTCCGAGCACTGGAGCACCGGGTGTGGTCGAGCATGCATCTGCAGCATGTGTTTCTCTCCCAGTGACATTAGTCCACTTTGGTGAAGTCTGCCTTGGGTCATGATCTCTGCCTCTACCTAGCAACTACTTAATAGTCTCCTCTCACTTTCCCTTTTGTTTGTCTCATCAGCCTGTGAAACTGAAGTGTCTTCCCAAACACGAAGTGGGGGAGTGTGAGATAAGCTTAAAATATGAGCCATAGCCTCTTTGGGGGTTTAAAGCCTCTCCTCCTTTTGTCCCCATCTCAAGTCCTCGGCATATCAAATCCTCCTTCCCCATCAAGCCTGCCTCTGTGCAGATCTAAAATCTGCTAACATGGGTTTCTCTAAGTGTAGACTTATAAAGGGTAAAGATGTCAGAAGAACACTGTGTGGATTGGCAAGAGGACTGCCTTTTTGTTCCAGAGTTATTCCAGGTGAGATGCCCAGCAAGGACAAGGCATGCTGGGATAGATTTCAATGTCAAGGTTATTTCTCCTGAGAAGCACCAAGTCTACATACATCATTCTATAACAAGGTGACAAACTGTGTAACCGAGGTTAGTAATTTCTCCTTTCTGTTAGTAGAAGGCCAGCTAAACTAATAAAGATTCCTACTGGATTCTAGTGACCCTATATTCAGCAATAAGTCAGGACACAAAGACAGCACACACATTCACACACATGTATGCACACACACATGTACAACAGCCCTTAAAAATCAGTTTAAATTCTTCACTAGTCAGTTCTAGCACTGATGGGCTAATAAGAAACTCAGCATGGTCCTGGCAGACTAGCCTTCGGGATAGCCACTCTCCTCCCTTCCTTTCTGTGTGGACTGAAGAGTAAAGCACATCACAGTGGCTGGCCCATTGTCCTAGCCATGATTCATGACATACTACCTGTCAGACTCATTGGCTTGGTTGATAAATCCTTAATGGTCAAGAAGAAATAGAACCCTCAGAAGGAAATCCCCTGAAACTTTACTTCACACATCTATTTTAGCCCTAACGAACTCCAATTCATTACCCAAATGCCACGTTTTAAAAATGTAAGCACTATGGCTGAAGAGACTTGAAAAAGGGCTTCCAGCATGAGCGGCTGAACTCAGACCACAGCACTCATGTGACAATGAGGTGTGGAGATTTGTGAATGTAACCCTCCTCTGGGGAGGAAGAGATAGGTGGATCCCTGGAGTTCAGTGGCAAGCCACCTAATTGAATTGGTGGTGGGTTCAAATTCAGTAAGAGACCGTGTTTCAAACAGTAAGGAATGCCAGGTATGGTGGTGTCACCCTTTACTGCTAAGGCAAGTAGATTTCTGTGAGTTTGAGACCAACCTGGTGTACATAGCAAGTTCTAGGCCAACCAAGGCTGTGAGGTGTCTAAAAAAAGGGGGGGTGTAGGGAGCTGGATTGAGTAATACACTCAGTGTCAGTCTTTGGTATGCATAACACACACACACACACACAAGTGCGCACACAAGGTAAAACAAATCCAGTTTATTTTTGATCATAAATGCTATTCAACTTTCTAAAGCACTACCGATACCCCTCTTCCCAATACCACGATGCCATTTTCTCAATGCTCTTGAGGCCTGATAAATTCAGCAGGACTCCTGGTACTTTCAAGGCTGTGAGA